ATTTTCATAATAAAAATCCAAAAGTAGTTGTTCAAAGTCTATACATAATCCACTAAATAGCGCCATGAAAATTATTGTGCAAACAAAGTCGTTTAAAAGGCTGTTTAAAGATAAGAAGACATTTCCTATCAGTAGCATCGCTAAATGCACGTTGTTAAGCATCTGGCTTATGTGCCTAGTGACTTTCATCAGCTCTCAGTAGTACTAATGTCAACAGGTCTTATATTGACTTTCATGTTTACTCTCCACGCTCAACATCAAATAAGGACAAATAGGCTCGCCAAATTACTTTATGTTGTAGCACGTTTTTGGTTGGTCTTGATTTAAGTTTTTATTTTTCTCTAGTGTTTCTACTTATGAACCCAGTAAAAAGGGCTTAAATCTATGAAAAAATAAGATGGATGATGAATCAAGTTACTGCTTGCTTTTTGTCATTGATTCACTACACATCTCTCCCCCCTTGTCCTCTTTGATCCATTATTTTTCCTCTTTTCTACCCCAGAGGCGAGGCTAAAGAGGACAGGAAGGGACACTCGCATCCCAAACTTTAATGAATTAGAGCTTAAGGCTTTGCTTATTTCCTAGAGATGCGCTGGTCTTGACCCATTAAAAGTTTCATGCACACTCAACTAATACATATCCCAACTCATCTCAAGGAAATAATCCCTAATATACATATGGGTTTTTTTTTAAATATTAGTCTCTTACATTGTTCATATATTGAAATTAGTTCATCAAATCATTGAAATATATTTATGTCCTCTCATCCTTAAGGTACTTTGAAATTAGTCCCTCTAATCAAGGGTACAAGTAGCAACTAAAGGGTTGAATTTCAAACAAGTTATGAGAACCTAATATCAACTTCAATGATTTGACGGGCTAATTACAAATAATTTTGAGGGACTAATTTCAAAACAACTTAAGAATTGAGGGTCCAATAGAAACTTCAATACTTTGAGGGAGTCATTTCGAAATATGAAATATTTCAGGGACTAATACCAAAATAATCCTTTCATTTATTATGTATATTTTAGTTACATGTATTACAAAATAATGCCTCCAGTTAAAATATTTAAAAATGTTTTACCATTTCCCTAAAATGTTAGGTTTGTATGTTCTTGCCTCAATTTTAATGCATATGTGAATCTTCACTCGATATTATATTATTTATTTTTGGGATATTTGAATTGGGTTTTCTTAAATTAGGCTTTTTTTTGCTATCATGGTGATTTCCTTGTGTTTTTCTTAAAAAAAACACCACGGTGTTGTGTTTCTCCCTCAAAGGGTTTGTAAAATATCATGATGAGTGTTTTTTGTCAACACTAGTTTGACCTGTAACATTAGTATTAAATATTAGTTATAAAAGAATACATTAAAATTAAAATACTATAATATTTATTTTATATTATTATATTATTATTATTATTAAATATAATAAATATTATATTATAATGCAT